GGGGTGAAAACGACCGTCGGGGACGTGGGATGCAAACTCTCCTGTCAGAGATGCGCATTTCACTGACTGAACAACTGACAAATGAACTGTCGGGCCAAGCCTTACTGTCCTTGAGCTTCTCTTCGTTGTCTTGCTGCGCCGAGCTCGCGGGTTCCTGCAAGCGGAGTCGTAGCCGGAGCCGCAGGACCTCATCCTCTTTCCTTGCCAGTGTCTGTCTCCAAAGCCCCGTTGCAGTGAGGACTTTCTCTTTGTACTTGACCTGTGCATCCTCGAGCCTCTTCAACCTGCTCTTGAACTTGTTTGTCATGTCCGTCTGGGCTTTGGAAACCTTCTCGTCGAACTTTTTCTTGTTCTCTTCTTTCTCTTTCGCCATCTGTGCCTGGTGCTCGGCGTTCATCTCTTTGATTTTGTTCTCATACATGGCAGTCAGTACCTTCATCTCCTTCTGGCTATCCTCGAACTTGTACCTGTACGTATCTTCCGTGATGGACAGCCTCTTAGCCCTTTCCTGGTTGTTTCTCTCATGCGTGTTCTCCAGTTCGTCCAGCATGTCCTCGCCTTTCTTCTTTACAGCTGCCAGTTCGGCCTCGTGCTTCTTATTGTCGTCCGCAATCTTCGTCTCGTACATTTTCTTCGTCCAAATCGCTTCCTTCTCAACCTCCCTCAAGCGATCGATTTCCATGCGGTCCTTGTTATGCGTCAAGATGGCGAGCTTGTTGATAGCCGAATCCTGCTTCTCCGTGAGCTCCACCTCATTCTTCCATTGGTTGTACATCTGTTGCAACCTTCTGTTGCAGAGGCGCCTGATACCGCTGAAGTCATTGGCTGAGTGCTGCTTGTTCTTCTCAGCTTTCTTCCACTCAACTTTCCATTCATCCGGAAGGGGTCGGAGTTCCTTTGTGAAGCCTTGCTTCGTTGGGTCCGTCTCTGTGTCGTCGTGGCTTCCTGCAGGGTTTTGGTGGCTTCCTGCAGGGTTTTGACTTCGACGCCAAGCCGCCCATTCCGCGTCGGTGTACACTTGCTCAGTCATGGCGCTAGTGGCGCCAAGAAAAAACGGTGCGATTTCCTTGAATCTTGAGATGAAAAGCTGCTGCAGTCCAACATGTTGAGCTTGGAAGCAACCGACGGTGCAGCAGTCAAGTCTTGGTGTGGCTTAGGCCGGGGCTCTTCGAGGATCTCGATGCGCAGACTGTCTCAGCCTGGTTGGCCGGCGACAGACGGAAAGTGAGCAGAGAGATACTGAATCCATGCATGACTTTCCTGCCTCTTCCTTCCCTCACATCACTCCTTGCTGCCTGCTCATTCCTCGCATCTACAGTCACACCCTCATCTTGATCATTCCTTCTTCCTTCCCTGCTTCCTTCCCTGCTTCCTTCCTTCCTTCCTTGCTTCCTTCCTTGCTTCGTTAATTATTTTCGCTGTCTCTCTCTCTCTCTCTCTCTCTCTCTTCTTTCTCTCTGCATCTGTCTTTGAGGATCCGGCTCACCCCTGCTCGGGGTTCATCCTCACCCCTGTTCGGGGTTCATCCACACCCCTGCATGGGGTTCTCACGACCCCTGTTCAGGGTCCAGGCTCACCCTTTTCGGGGTTCATCGGACGCCCCTGTGCGGGGCTCTAACGACCCCTGTTCGGGGTCCAAGCTCACCCCTGTTCGGGGTTCATCCACACCCCTGCACGGGGTTCTCACGACCCCTGTTCGGGGTCCAGGCTCACCCCTTTTCGGGGTTCATCCACACCCCTGTACGGGGCTCCGACGACCCCTGTTCGGGGTCCAAGCTCACCCCTATTCGGGGTTCATCCCGCAGCCCCTTCAAGGGCTTGGTGCGGGTACGCCCCTGCACGGGGCTCCGAAGACCTCTGATGTGGCGACCTGACATCCTGACAGAGCCTGCGCGAATGCCTAATTACAACTACTTTTGCCTGCTACCTTTAAACTTCTTTCCTGATCAATGCCTCCTTACCTACATGCCCGCCTACCTAGCTATCTAGAGACCTGGAAGCCTGCCGGTGCACCTAGACCTACAAGTACCTCCCTCCTGCCTATCTACTTATCTATACCTACCTGCAGGAGTGGGTGGGCGGGTTTGGGGGTTGGGTGGGATTACAGTTTAGGGTCCAGGGTTTAGGGCATGAGCTGGACGTTACGAAAGCTTAGATTCCCTTCATGTTTAATCATGAACACACACACACTAATTTTCAAGTCGTTGTGAATCGTACAAAAAGCTGACTTTAGGGTTTCAGAACACAAAATCTCAAGCTTCTTGTTTTCGTTGAGCCACAAGAACACCAAGTTGCATTTGTTTGGTTTGCTCGGCACAAACGAATCTTCAAAATAACTTCAAAAATATCTTGCAACAAAGAAATTCCATGTGAACTACAAAACTTGGGACAGGCAATTATGTCAGTATGGCTTTGATTTTTCGATGTACATGTTTTCACATTTCGAACAAACCAAGTTTTTCAGGCATTGATTTTTCTATTGAGCCACAAGCACACATCTTTTTATACATGTCCAGCATCTCGCTCTTTCCATAGAGCCACAAGAACACACATGACGTAGGCCCAATGTTGCTGCAGTAGTTGCATTTGTTTTCCGTCCTGCCCCCCCCCCCTTCAGCACGACATCAGACATGTTGCTTTACGTGTCCTATATACACGTGTTCTGACATGTCCATCATGTCAGCAACAAGTGTCCTATATACACGTGTTCTTACATGTCCATCACACGTGTTCTTGCATGTCCATCATGTCAGCAACACGTGTCCTATATACACGTGTTCTTACATGTCCATCATGTCAGCAACACATGTCCTATATACACGTGTTCTTACATGTCACTCATGTCAGCAACATAAATCCTAGGACCCGGTTCCATAACGGAAAGGACCCGGTTAGCCCCGGACAGGCATCCTTGCTGAAGGCTTGCCAAAGGCTGTGTGTTGCTACCAGAGCTTTAGTGCCTGACCTGCCTCGCCTTGAGTGTGGAAGCGTCGCTGCTGTAACAACTGTGGAGAACTTAACGAAACACCGGGCGGCCGCGGAGAAAGCCCTCCACTTGGAGCGGTGGCAGCGCAGCCGTTGTGAATCTGACTTGAGTGTTGTTCGGTCGTACGTGAAGCGCAGGGCTGATGAACAACTCGCCTGGGAGGCCCTTCCTGAGGAAGCGGCTTCGGCTCCGGGAGGGTGGCATCCTGCAGTGGCGGTCCAGGCCCAAGCGCAGATCTGGACAGACAAATGGACGGCTAAAGGCCAGCCTGATCTCAATGCCGTGGCCGCGGTCTTGCGTGAGGTTCCTAGGCCTTGCCCCGTCAAACTCCAGCTTGAAATCACTGCCGATGAGCTTCGGCAAGCCACGCAGGCAATGCAGCGAAAAACCGGAGGGTTCCACATAACTCCGTGCAGTCAGCCTTGCAGCGCATCCGACAGGCTTTCGACGAAGGGGCCACTTGCTTTGCCCAAACTGACGTCGCCTCATATTTCGACTCCATACGGATGCCTGTGCTTCAATGTGTTTTGCGCCATATGAGGTTTCCACAGGCCATCCTCCGAGTGCTCGAGGCTTTCTAATGGGGCTCAACGTGTCTTCTCGTTGTCTGGAGCCCTTAGCGATTCCTGGGCTCGGGTGGACTGTGGCCTGGCACAGGGATGTCCCCTATCACCGGTCCTGGCTGCTGTCTTGTCGCATGTCTCTGTGACCAGTGATGCCCAGGGTCAGCCCGCCGAGGCCTTAGCGTACATTGACGACCGCAGCCTTTGGGTTCCTCCTAATAGGCCCCTAAGCTGCACACAGGCTTACATCACACAAGCATGGCCCTGCTGCAATAGGCGGCAAACAGGCAGCAGGCAGGCAGGCAGGCAAGCAGGCAGGCAGGCAGGCACAGGCAGGCAGGCAGGCAGGCAGGCAGGCAGGCAGGCAGGCAGGCAAGTGCCCTCCAGCGTGCATTGGAGCGTTCAACTGCATACGACCGTGCCTTTGGGTTTGCACTCTCCTTGGATAAGTGCGCCTTGATTCCTCGAACTCTGGGCGTGGAGCATGAGCGGCTTGCTGCCCATTTCCATTTCAAGCTTGAGGACACTCTTGAGATCCTAGGGATTAGGGCTAGTTTTGATGGTAACTGGACTTTGCTCCGCTGCAAGATCCGTGCTGCGATTCTTCGGGCACGTTTGCTCGGCTGGACCACCAATAACCGACACTTCAGGCGTCAGCTCCTGCTGTCGCTGGTGGTCTCGCCTTTTGCATGGGCTGCTGGGTTTGCTCGTCCCAGCACAGAGGAGATGAGCACCTTGCGTAATGAGATCGAACAAGCCTTTTCCAAATCTTTTACTACTAGTTTCGCCAGAGTCTGCCTCTACGAGACTCTGGGTTGGGAGATCCACCCTGACTTTGCCTGTGACTTGGGGGCCCTACGCCTCCTGTGGAAAATGTGCGTGCAAGCCCCTCGCTGGCTGGACACGGTCCCTCTTCACCGCGCGACTTTCAGCTGGGAGGCCATGATCCCTGAGGCTCCGGGCCTCTTGCAGCGGCTGTACTGGTACTTGGACCCTGCTGGTTCTACGTTGTCTCGCATCGATCTTGCTGGCCGGCAGCGGACCGTGCGACCTGGGCGTGACGGCTTCCTTGTGGTGTGCACCAGTGGCTCCGCCAACACTTCCGTCAGGCTGCTGTGGCACGCGCGGGCAGGATCCACCACAGCCTGCACCGTGACGACCCGCAGCTCGCCACCGGCTTGCGTCTGCCCAGGTCTGACATGACCCTTGATTACCACTTTGGAGGCCACCACAGGGCCCTTGCCATGAATCGGCGTGACACTGACCTCACCGTGCTTGGGGCTGGTGGCACCTGCTGGCATTATAATGCCGGCGATCACTTTGGGGAAGGGCATCCCAGATGGCTTTGCATGTGTGGCTTGAAACACCCATCACGGGCTCACCTTTTGTGGGCTTGCAGGTGCACCGCTCATCTCCGTGCTGGCCTCCGCATGCCCCGCGACAGGTGTGAGGAGCTATACTTCATGGGGTTCCCGAGCAGCCTCCTGCTCCGCCCGCGTTGGATCCCGACGAGCTCTACGAGGATTTGGTGCAGGAGCTTTGCAATCTCATGCGAGAGGCTGCTGTCATCCATTCGGCCACTGATGGGTCGGAGCATCAGGACATTGGGGCTTTCGCTGTCGTGGTTCAGCCTGGTGGTTACCGCTGTGCCATAGGAAACGGCGAGGAGGACCAAACGTCCTACAAGCAAGAACTCTTGGGTCTCGACTTGGCTACACGTGCTGCTCTCGATGCGGCGCGGTCTACTGGGTGGACTGGCAGGATCGTCTTCGTCGTGGACTGTCAGGCCGTGCTGCGAGTCGTGCTGAGGCAGGGTGACCACTTCTCGTACTTGTTGCACATCGTCAACCACAGGTTCGACGAGCTCTCGGATCTCTTGAGGCCCTCGGCGTGCAATTGACCCATGCCTGGGTGCCCTCGCACGGGAAGCGACCGAGCTGGGAAGCCCCTCTTGGGCTGAGCACGGACCTCATGAGATGGATGAACGATCAAGCTGACCGTGCCGCCGCTAAATGTCGCGTTCGTCGCAGCGGAGGTCATGGTCGTGCTGCTTGGTGGCGACTTCGTGAAGAGGCAGCTGCCTGGGAACTCAATGCGATCCAGGCTTCGGCCACTGCCGGCAAACACCTTCATGATGCTCTTCGACGACATGGTCTCCGGCCTGGCGAGGCTCCGCCTCCGCCGGCTGCTGCTGATGGAGATGATGGCGGGTGATGCTGGGCTGCTTCGGCTTCGTTTCGCGGGTCATCGTGGTGCTCCTTCGGGTTTCAAGTGTTTGATGCTTCGGCTTCTGGACACACCTTCTACGACTCCCTCCGGGTCTTCGACTTCGGCAACCCCGTGGCGCTTGGGCTGCTGCTGGCTTTGGCTGATGGCGGCCTCCGGCGAACTGAGATGCTGCCTCGTCTTCTTCTGAGGCCCTGGTGCCATAGCAGCTTTGTTGACCGTGCCGTTCACCACCTTGGTGATGAGGAGTGTGGCTTTCCGCGTATGTGCCAACTGCTGCACATTCGCTCTCCTTTTACTCTGACTTGATGGGCTCTGCGGACCACATTTGGGCGCAGTGTTCGAACCGAAATCGTTGCTGGTAATGGAAATGTGCTCATATCCGCCAGGCCTAGCAGGAAACCCTGGTGCCGGTTTTAGACTTCTGAGGCTTGGAGTTTAAGGTTTAGGCATCTTGCTTCTTGAGCACAATTCAACCTCTTCGATCAAGGCAATCCAGGCTCTCAGACCTTCAAGCAGCGTGTTCGCTCAAGCTTGTTTGCGCTTCCACCCCCGATTCCGCTTCTGGAGTCATGCTGCCTGGCGTGAAGTACGAAGGGGTTCAAGTGATGGAGTTTTCTCGCAGTTACTAGCAAAGCAGGCATGCCTCAAAGAGGAGCCTGTTGCGACGTGCGCTTGCTGCGTCAAGCCCGTATCTTAATAGCTAGCTTGCGGCAGAGCCTGGCTTAGAGCATCTGCTGTGGTTTGGGGGCATGTCAGGATCCAGGCCTCGAAGGGATCGTTGATGGAGTGAATCCTTTAGCATTTCCAACGACGTCACAGCAGAAAGTCCCAAAACCCGAGTGTATATCGAACAGGTTCAAACGACTTGAAGAGCCGGATCTGGCCCTGAGAGAGTTTGAAGAACACCCTCGGGATTTTTGGGTATAGCGCTGAGGGGTTAGAGTTCAAGGATGAGGGCTTGCCGTGCAGGGTGTGGAAAATTCCGAGCTTAGGATGCGTCGCTCCGAGGCACATACAGCCACTTGTGCAGAGCACAGGACCTTTAGGGTGAGTTTTGAATGCTTTGAAACCATTTCCCGAACTAGCTTGCGCATGCAGATCTAACCACACTGAACGCAAACCCCAAAACCTAGGAGGCCAAACCGCGCAAGATCCGAAGCCCAAAAAACTGCATCCCAAAAAAAAGGGCAGCACTCGAACCTTAACTTGTGAACCCCTAAGACCCCAACACCCCAAACGATAGTCTGAAAACGTTGAGGCCCGATACCCAGTTTTCGCAACGGCCCTCAAGCACTCTTCAACCCCCCAGAGCTCATAGCTGTGATCCCCAAGCCTGATACCTTAGACTCCCTAAACTCCAAACCCCTAAAACCTGAATGCTTTCAAGCATCAGTCGTCCTAACAAAGGGCTTTCTGCGCTTGCTGCGCCGCGGAGTGCCTTAGCTGCAAGGGCAAGGCAGCGGTGACTTCAGGGTCTGTGGGGCGCACTTCGATTAGGCTCTCAGGACTTGTTCTGCAATTGAGACTGCATAATCCCGCAGAAATCTGGGAAATCCCAACAAATCCTAAAAGCACCCCGAGCCCGGAAAGTTCGTAAGTGATCTCATGTGTCCGAAGATTCCTGCAAAAGCTCCTGAGGACCGAGGGCGTGGTGGAAGAAGTTCCCCCAGCCGCCGCCGTGGCGGTGGCGGAACCTCCCAAGGCTAAGGCTCGGGCAGCTACAGTAAGTGCCGCTTTTTTGAGGGGTTTAGGGTTTGGGTTAGTTGTAAGGCCCCTTGGGGCTCCTGAAGCAGGTAGAGCTCCCTTTTCTTGCAGGGCAGGGATTCAATAATTGGCGTCTGGGGAGTTTACTAATTTACTATTTTCAGCTCTGGGGACCGGTGACGAGTTGTGTTGCCGGGCGCGGAGTTCTCAGGACATTCGCGCATTGGGGCTTCGGGCTTGCAAGTTGAGTTGACTCACGGCCTGATGGACGCTGTGGGCTCTCTGAAAACTCTGGGTAGGCATAGAAGAAAAAAGAACGACAAGAAGGAGAAGAAGAGCCGCAGCACCAGCAGCAGTAGCAGCAAGAGCAACAACAGCAGCAAGTGCAGCAACGACAACAATAATAATAATAATAATAATAATAGTAATTATTATTATTATTATTATAACAATAACAATAACAATAACAATAACAATAACAATAATATGAGTAACAATAATACCAACACCAACACCAACACCAACACCAACACCAAAGCAGCAGCAACAACAGCAACAGCCAAAGCAACACCAACGACACCAACGACAACACCACCAACAGCAACAACAGCATCAACAGCAGCAGCAGCAGGAGCAGCAGCAACACCACCACCACCATTTCATTCACACGCAGCGGGAGGATACTGTCTGTGGTGAAACTTGACGTCCACGCTTTGCGAGGGATCGACCTACTGCTCTGCTTGCTAATTGCGCGGTCACTTCATGACGAGCCGTGCCTTAACACAGCACTCGCACACGCTCCGCCCCTCAAGGCTGCAAGCAATGAAGTCGGGATCAGACGAGCTAGTGGTTCGTACTGAGCCCTCACAGCGAGGCTAGACACCCCGCGAGACAGCAGAGTGCAAAAAGAATGTCGCCAATCAGTCAGCGATGCATTGCAAATCAGCCGGTGAACTACAGCATTAGTGCCAGGGTCTGCATCCAGACTCACTGAAGACCACCACCACCAACAACAACAACAGCAACAGCAACAGCGACCGGCAGCAGCGGCAACAACAACATCAATAAAAGACTCAATGCAACAGCTGCAACAACAACCATAGTAACAGCCACGCTCAGCATGGCAATGGATGTCGGTGTAAGCAGCCCAAAAAAGTGCTGTTGATGTTGAGCTCAAGAACCCGTTCATCTATGAAGCAGACACTCCCTGTAGAAACCTTCTTAAACCCAATTCGTCAAGCCCGAAGCCCTGAGACCCTTCAGCCTGATTATAGCCATCGGGTGAGAGTTACTTAAACATGGGACCCTGTCAGATACTGGCCCCAAACAGCGGAATCCTGCATACAGGGAGCCACAAGCACAGATTCCTCCTTTGAGCCCTTACCAAAATCGTTTAGCAGCTTGTGAACCGGTATAGCGCCCGAATAAAAAAGCATGCAGCTCACAGCACCGTAAGCAGCCTTCAACAAAGCCCACAAAGCCTTGAAACACCCATACGAAGCCAGTCACCCCTTTTCAGGTCGTGGAGGAGGAGCCAAAGGTACCGGCTCCGGCGCCCGGCGTGGTCTTTACCTTCTTGACCCCAGATCCTTGGCTAGTCATACAGGGAGTTTGTAGGTTTTTGCAGGGGGGTTTATCTGGCCTCTGAAAACGAGGGTTTCCTATAGGTAGGCCCGTGCCATCTACTTTCCATGATCGGGCCAAAGAGAAGCTCTTATGTAGGAATATTCTGGCAGAGGCTCTCCAACCTTTGGTATGATTTTGTGGGGTTTGAGGGCTCCCAGACTTCCTCCTGGAGGCAAGCGGTAACTTTTTCGGATCCCAGGCTTCGTGAAGAGCCTGGGGTCTGAACTTCAAGCTTCGGGTGCTGTGTCCGTGCTTGGGCTTGGGGCTTAGAGTACTAGAGTTCAGCACTTGGCTGTCGAACTGAGGAGGTTATGATGTTTCTTCGGGTCCGCACAGTAGTGCGGATTGAGGATTTGCGGATTGACAGCTGAGCCTTGGGAAGCTCTGACGGTCGAGTCATACCCAAAACGCCAAGTCAGCTGAGGACAACACCTACAAGGAGGCCCATCGGGAGGATCATGGGTTCTGGTGCGGAGGGCGAAGGGCCCGACGCCTGCACCGTCCTAAAGTCCTACACCCGGAACTCTAAGCCCAATACCCCAAGAGGCTCTGAGTCATGCAGATCTGAGGAACAAGAGGGGTCTTGGGTTCTGCAGGATTGTGTGGACTTCAGCCTGTGGCCAGCTGCCAGCTACTTTAGGACTTGGGGCCTTTGGGTTTGCTTGGAGCATCTGAAGCAACTTTGCCTGTGTGAGTATGGCTTCAACTGCACTTGTTGCACCCCCCACCCCGGGAAGTACGAAAAAGCAAGAGTGATGTTGTAATGCTAGCAATGCCGAGAAGGAGCACTGTCGACAAAGAGCGTGGTGTCTGTATTTTCAATATATATATATATATATATACACACATATACACACATATACATATACATATACACATATACATATACATATACATATACACATATACATACACATATACATATACACATAGACATAGACAGAGACATAGACATAGACATATACATATACATGCACATGCACATGCACAAACACAAACACAAGCACATATACATATACATATACATATACATATATACATATATACATATATACATATATACATATATATATATATGCGGATGCACACTGTGATGAAGGGTGAATGTATATGCAACACGGACACGGCAATATGATGTTGGAGCAGAGCGCAACGTGAGCTTCCCTGCATTTGCCAAAGCACCGAATTCTGGTGGTTTGGCTTGAGGTGTACATGGGGCTAATATGGGGTTTAGGGTCGCTGCAGCTCCGGGATCTATAGATCCTCAGCACAGCTAGCAGACAACCACCCTCCCCACCCATCCGACAAAAAGATAACTCTTGCTGTTAAGAAGCCCCATATGGCTGCTGGGATTAGCGGCCAGATTCCGATCTGAACGGTGTTTTTTCAAGCACCGGTGCTTGGCATAGGGCTAATATAATAATATAGGGGATGCTAGTGTTCGGCGTTTGGTCAGCCTATCCTATGTCTGAAACTCCTAGCTTAAAGACGGCTCGCAGCAGGGCCTTCCGGAAGCTCAGGGTTGAGCTTCGAAGGCTCCGAGGAGTTACAAAGACCCAAGAAACCTTCGACCCGAACCCCTTCTGGGCCCACCCGAGAACCTCCATGGCCTCCGTCGTAAAGCCCGAAGAGGCACCCGCCAACCCTTCTACCCCCGAACG